TGAGATGGGCTAACAAGCTGCTCTTCTCAGATTCCATCCTGCAGCCGGAGCTCCGTTCCCCGCTTTGCCACCCATGTGCAATTTGTTCAAAGGCGCCGTTCCAGTGGGCTTTCACCCACCAGCCTGCAACTGAACCAGATGTGTCACCTGTTAACTTCTACACCACAAGATGGCGTTTTGAATGCAGGGAATCTGGAGATTATGACCCTCTTTTGCATATTGGGCTATATTTTTATAAATGGGATCTTCAGGACACGGAGCAGGCAGGAAGGCAATATTTCAGCCATCATGGGGAATATTCCCTTCTCAGGGGTCACCAACGTCAGGCATTTGATGAGAACCTTACACCTAAGGAGGGGTTCTGCTGACCGTCCCCAGGCCATCTGGTTCTGCTTCAGTTCTTCCTTGCCGTTGCTGCCCCTTCAGCTGATTTCTCTGAGCAAATTAAGAGTAATCTGGGAGAATGCTGGGAGAATGGCCTGTGCAAAGTGAGATATAATCTCTGGAGTCCTTGGTGCTCTCTGAGCTTGGTTGTTTGCTTGCAAGTGAATAACCAAGCTCAGCGAGCACCAAGGACTCCACAGTTCAACCCTGAACTTCATATATTCTCTTCAACTGAGATATAATCAGTTATGCAGGAGAGGTAGAATAGCCACAAAATGCCTTTTGACTGGTAATGCTATGGGCACCAGTCTGGATGTTTAGCCTGGCAAAGAAGCGATTAAGGGAAGACATGGTAATGCTCTCCAAATATCTCAAGACTTGTAGAAAGTAAAATGGTCTTTTATTGCTCTGGAGGGCAGGATTGGAAGACCCAGTGGGTGGAAATTTCAGGAAAGCAGACTTGAACCAAATTTTAGCAGAAAGTTTCTAATGCTGAAAGCTAGTTGGCCATGTAACAGAACAGCTTTGGGATATGGCACTATTTCAGCAAAGACTAAGGAGGCCACCTGTAAGGGATGTAGATTCCTGAACTGAGATGGTGGTTACATTAAATGATCCCTTCCATTTCTAATGTTGTGTTAAATCCTGGCCACAAAGTTGAAGAGCAATTTATAAATGTGTCAATAAATAAATGAATAAATTCATGGCAGATAAGTAAAGGGAAGTAGATACATGGAAAAACAGAGTGACTCGAGAAGGTCACACTTGAAAGCATGGAGAGATAAACCCCCTAAGACCACAACAGTGTGGCAAATTCTATATCCCATTAGCTCCTCTTAACATCCTGATTATGAAACATCTATGACTTTGATTTCCTCATTTGTCACTTTTCTCTGCAACCAATCAAAGCTTGATGTACTTCTTCCCTCAAGAAACGTTAGACTTCTATCACAGCTTTAAAGGTTCGATTTTCCATTAGATGAGAAAAAATGTCAGGTGATACAAGACAAAAATGCCAGAAGTCAGCCTCGATTTTCCTATCTGTTGGGAAGGGATGCTAATATACCCAAGTGAAAAGCTTTCTCCATTTCTGTGCCTTGCTTGTTCTGCTGAGAAGGTTGCTATAGCATCTTTTCTGTGGAATGAGCTGGTATTTTCCCCTCTGTCTGGACCACATCACAACTCACCATTCAGCCCGGTCTACGTAAGGCACAATTGTTAGTACAGGAGGGCTGCCCATACCACTGAACTAGGTATGTCCCCGTAGCTGTTTCCAGCTACAGCAGGTTGGAAGGAATCAAAAGTAAGCTTGTGCGAGATTCACCTTAAAAAGAAATGGAAAGACATTTCATGCCGAGAAATTGTGAAGTTTGGGAGCTGTTTTATGCTAAGAAGCAGTTTTCAATATTCTCTTCAGCATATTTATTTAGTTTTGACATGTTTGGCTATCAATCAAGTCTCTTATTCAGTTGTGAAGATCTGCCCAATAACATTCATAAATCAATTTGAGGGGATGGCTCGGAAGTCAAGAGTAGCACTAAGACCAGTAATACTTTTGATGGGAAATATATGCTGCTCAGAGTTGGTCTCCATTGGAGCAGCTCATAAGCATTATAAAATATATAAATAAAGAATAAATTACAGTGCCAGGTTTCTCCCTGACCAATACTGGAACAAAAGCCTTACAGGTAGTAAGTAATTCAAGGACACTTGATGAATCCACGGATGAAGAAATCTAGCAACGGCAGGGCATAACATGCAAGTCAGAATTAAAGTGTTAGTCTTAAATCTCTTTCTTCCATCCATCCAGCATAGCAGCGGGAAAAGCGGTGGATACCTTTACATTATTACTCTAATGGACTCATTTAATCTCAGGGATTTTACATCTGACCTTCCTATTTAGAAACCATAGAAAAAAGTGTTCTGGCTGAGACCAGAGGCGATCGAATCCAGTGTCTTGTCGCGACAGTGATTTTCCAACTGCATTTACAAAGTTCATAGGCAGGATGAGAATAAGGTAAAATCCATCTGCTAGTATTCTTTAGCAACTGGTATTCAGCCATGATTTGTTTAACCAAGTTTTGCTAAAGATACTGCAACAGACTGGGTTCACACAGCCCGTTAAACCACAAAACAGAGCTCAGAAACCACAATAGCGGGGCTTACATAATCCACTAAGCCAAACAAGCCACATTATGGCTGAGTATGCTGAATGATCCCAGCTTTTTTTTTTCCTCCCAATCATACAATTATATGTGCACAGGACATTGGATGACTTCTGAAAATGGAGATAAGGTGGGTTCTATGCTTCAGTGCCAAGTTGGCACTTTTTTGGACTTGGGTCTGATTTCATTCATTCATTCAAAGTATGAAAAGCCACCCAACACATCAATCAGAACCAGACCAAAAATAATGAAAAACCAAAATAATCAACCACAATCACACCCATGGCTGAAACTGGGCAAAACAGATGTGTGCTCGCTAAGCAGAACAAGCTGAGTTACTATCCTGGCCCAATGCATGGGAGAAAAACCATAGCTCTGTGAAAGGCTACTAGTGTCACAGTTTCCAGAATTCCCAGCCAGGATGGGCCATTCTGCAACCTTAGGCTGCATTGCATATTAGATGGTGCCTACTACATCTCCATAGCCTCCAATCACCTATGGCCTATGGTCCTATCACCCATGTTCCACATCAACTCAAGAGCTCTAGACCAGTGTTTCTCAGTCTTGCTGGCTGGGGAATTCTGGGAGTTGAAGTCTAAATGTCTTCAAACTGCCAAGATTGAGAAGTACTGCTCTAGACTAAAGATAAGATTAGGCAAACCATGGTTCTCACTCAACTCAGTGATTGTGTTCACATAGCTTTCTAAATCAGAAACCAGCTCACCACACTTTACCCTAACATGTTGTGAAAACCCAACTGTATGATCAGAGCACTATGCAAATTCTGAAGAAAGGACTAAATTGAGAAAAATCAAGTTAAATGTGAATATAATTGCTTTCTTCTGCTTCCCTCCACTGAAGAGGAGAATGAGATCTACATTCCCAGAATTCTGAAAATCATCGAGAAGAAGGAAGTTAAGTAAACACACATCACTGAGATTTCCAACGCACTGTGGCTTTATGCCCATTGGCCTCTCCAGATGTGCTGGACTATAACTCCTAACTTCACCAGCATGGCCAGGAACTGATAGGAGTTGTAATCCAATATTGTAGCACAGTATTTCTTAAGCTTTTCTCTCCCAGGACCCCTTCCCGCTTTTAAAAATTATGGAGGACCCCACAAGAGCTTTGGTTGGTATGAGTTATATTGATTGATATTTGCCATATTAAAAATTAAAATTGACACATTCACTGCCACTATCACTTCTTACAGTAGTTTGATGGGATTTTAATACTGTAGCATTTTTCAACATAGGCTGGCAAATCATTCTGATTTCGCAGACCCTGAGAGGGTCTTGGGGGGTCCTTGGACCACACTGAGAAATCCTGCTTTAGCAGGACCCCTGCTAGAAAGAACTGAACTGCATCTTATCCTGCAGGGAAAAATGCAGATATTCTCCATCCAAAGCAGAAAACACATCCTCTGGTTAAAAGACAAGTTCCAGAGAAAGTTGTTTGTCCCCCCCCCC